AAATTGAATGTTACTTCCAAAATACGAATCATACACAGAATGCTGTCATGGAAACCTTTCTTACAGAGCCTTTAGCATAATCGGCAATCATCCCACACTACGCTGCAGAAGTATTCATCTCTCACCACACCCAGCTATGTAGTCTGTAAATTGTAGTCACCATAAAAATACAGATTTTCGTGGCATGATACTGCTTTTCGTGGACAAATGTTACAGTCTTCATGCCCGAATGTACGGCTATGCATCGCAAAGCTATGTGGGATCAGATGGGCTTGGTTTCCTTAAGAAACGTGGAATTTCCTCTTCCCTCTGAAACCCATGTTAATATCAGAAGTTACCATGGTTTCACGAACACTTCTGGCTTGGGGTACAACTCCTACTTGATCATGTCCCATCAAAATTAACATCGCATTGATACTCGCAGTTTATCCTTCACCAAATCCTTGTGGTTATTAGTTACATTTCCTGAAGTCCTTTGTCTTTTTACAGACCATAGAGACACTGTACCAAATTTCTAAACAGTAAGTCAAGCAACACTTCCTTGTCTTTATCGAGTGCAAAGGACAGGCAGATGAACTCCTCGCAAAGATATAACATGACAGTGATATTTAGACTCAGCGTGAGAGGCAGAAGCAGAAGGTTTTGTATTTATATTAAAGATGAGATGAAGTTTTGCAGTTACATAGCAAAGGGTTTTTACTGTGTCAGATTCATTTCCAAGCCACATGCCTCAAAGAAAAACCAAATTCTTGAATGAGAGACCACAAAGCTAGTCAGATAGATAAGCAAATGCAGGTAGCAGCTTCCTTTGGACTTGACATATTTAAGTGAAGGGGACAATATGTTCAGGCACGTGCCACGGTGTGGTTTAGTTGCATCTCCAATTTTCAGGTGGAATAGGAAGGCTGAATCGAGGCATTTGAATTTCTTACAGGGATAAAAGAGGGAAATCATTGATCTTTTCTTGCTTTGGGTTTAGATTGTTCCCAGTAGCTGATTCCTACAATATTTAAGTGACATTTTTTTTATCCCTTTCTATGCAGGTGGTTCAGTGCCTAAAGGGCATCGATGAATATTTAAACAAATCAATACTAACAAGAATGTATGTTAAAAGCAAATCCAAAAAAATCTCACAATTTGCACGAGCCTTAGTTATCATAAACATGATAAAAGAAAAATAGAAAGATGTACACACAGAGGAGCCCGTATAGGCACTGGAGTTAATCTCGTTCCCCTTACAAGAATTTTATCTTCTGAAACTGTTGCAGGAAATGCTACAAGTCATTCTAACATAAAACCTTATTAAGATTCTCCACTATTGAGGGTCTGCCTCTAAATAAATAGCTGAATGTTAAATATCTCCTTTTTCTCATGCTGCATGTTTACAATCAAGTGTTAGAAATTAAATCCTATAAATTATACTGTTGGGTGTAGGACCTTCCCTAGGCCCTACTTCACAGTAAATAAAATTACAATAAAATAATCGTATAGCCTGCACAATAATGACCATCATATAAGATCCTAGCACAAGTAAGGAGCTGCCAGAAATTAGTTCTCTGTGAGCTGGGCTCCACAGAATCAAGATCTAAGAGTAGGAGATAACGGGCCCGGGAAATCTCACAGAGGTTAATGGTGCTTGTAGCGCTGTGTGGTATCAGCTTTGCTTTGTGGCCTCTTATAAAAAATTCTCACAACGCCACAGGAGGGGCAGGGAGGGAGATGGCACCTGTGCGTTGTGGGGTAGTGGGGAACACAACAAAGTCTCCTTTTCACTTTGTTTTTTGGTCTGACATAGCATTTGTAACTCTGCCTCTTCCCCTGTCGACCAGATCTGGTTTTCAGGTGAGTGAATACTAAGTTTTTATGCCAGAGATGCCAGGGGATAAGTTTCCCTTGTGTTTCTATACAAATTGGACTAAGTTAATCTTGAGAAAAAGAAAACTTAATTTACTTTTAGGCTGAATAGACATATCTGCTGTGTTCTTACTCCGTGCTGTTCTGCTTACTCCCCAGCAAAAAACATTTCTGATTACTCAGCTTGAAAGCTCTATACTGACTGACCGCTGACCCCAATTTTCAACTTCTGTTTTAGTTATGTTGTGATAGTTGCAACAAAATGAGATTTGGGGAAAAAAAAAATGGAGTAAGTTGTATGAGTTTTCCCTGACAGATTTTGGGAAGCTTTCCTCGTCGTATCAGAGAGAACACGTACCTGAATTAAAGCTGTACATGGGTTGTATTGGGAAAGAAAGTCTCTTTCTCAGATCTTTGTTCCCCTAAAAAAGAGTGCCCAAATAAGAGTTTCTGACTTTCTATTCAATATTTAAATTGCTCAGAAGCTTCAGTAATTTTTGGAAGAAGTCTTCTGCCTTCTGCTTTCATTTCCTCCCTTTTAATAGGAAACTCTTTGTTCCTGCATCTGAAAGTGAAGAAAAGTACACTTCATTAAGCCTGCAATTGTTTAGAACTCAGAAGTGTAGATTGATTAGCAAATACTCTACAATAGCTCTTATAATGGAAAGCTTTAAATAAATGGGTTTTAAACTATTCTTACAGTTTCTAGTGCTTTTTATACAGTCTAAACATGCTGTGTACACTATTCTTTGACTCTGCTGTGTTCCTGGAGAGGAATGAATCAGAATATTCTGAATGCCTTATGTAACGTATTTAGAGAACTTTTTTGTTTGTATCTTTGTTTGAATTTCTTGGACGGAATTAATTAATGGCAAAGCATAAAGGCCAACTTTGAAATCCTAGCTGACTTATACACTAGAGCTCAATTTGTATTCTACATCAAGGAAATGTTTGGATTTGAAAGAAGGACACCATTATCAAAAAGATTTCTGTAGATGGCTCTGTTCTTCAGCGCCAACAGAAGTGTGGTTTTAACATTTGGGTAATTCAAAAGGAAATTGATTTTTTGATCAGAGTATATTTAATTCCTTATTAAACATTAAGTGCAGAACAGGAAATAGTAAGTGGTTTGGGACAGGAAAAAAAATTATAAAGGTTCAATATGTTTAAAACAGTGTTCATTTCAGAGGAAGGGTAGATAGAGTAAAGTCTGTAGCCTGTGCTTTTAGGGTCCTGTGGAAATCTGATGGTGTAACGGCCTCTTTTAGGAAAGAGAAATATTCTTTTTATTTTCATCTCCATATCTGCTTTGCAATTTTGTAGCTATATTCCCTTATACAGTGGTACACTACTGCAGTAACATGTAAGGATTCGTTTCTCAGTGGATATAAATTTGTCTAGCGTCACTGAAGACAGTGGAATAAAGACGATTTACATCAGTTTCCAAAAAGTTGGATCAGCAGTTCACTGCAGCAGTGAGGAAGCCAGCAAGGAGGATCCTGCCTTTTGTCTTTACGGAAAAGGGGTTATTCATGAAATGCCATGTTGTGTTTTACAGACAACTAAAGCACAGTCTTACACAACGTTAGCTTGTGTCCTTCACCCCTCTGCCGGCTCCATCGTGGGACAGGCAAAGGAGAGCAGATGGAGGTCCTGCTGGCACACCTGCTCGTTCCTAGTTCTCAGGTTCTACATTCAGAAAGGGCTGTCCTTGGAGGCGGAGCACCTCTGCCTAAGTCATAACAGAGGAAGTGGGAAAAAAAACCTCATTTAAGGCTATAACACATATACCAGCTTCTGTTAAAGCTACTGGAATTTCCCTGGAAGATGCTGTAGGAGCAACATTAGCTCTTGGTCTGTCCATGGCAGGGCCTAGGGGCAGTCTGACATCCAGAAGACTCGACCAGTACCTGTGATACAGCTGTAGGAGGCAGAATGCTCAGCTAGGGATGCCAGAGGGTTTCAAGTCTGTGCATGAAGTTCAGGAAGTCCAGGGGAATTTTCTTCCAGTCTAGAGATGTCAAAGCTTGGATAGGGCCAACCTTGCGGATTTTTTCCTGTTAGTACCCTACTGCTAGGCACTATATATGAGCTACCAGAGCGTTACGCTGACTTTGCACAGATTTGAGTGACCGCTTAAACTTCAAGGCCTGAGGACACAAGAAAGAGAACAGGAAAAAATCTTGTCTTTATGTTTTCCAGGATTATCCTTCCTGTCAAAGAGAGATTAGACAGGAGGAAGTGGAGTCTTGATAACATCTTTTATGCTTTTGAATATTTGTAGGGTAGAGAGAAGATGGAGAGATAGTCTTTTCTGGTTTTAAAATAATTTTCTTCTCACTCTAGTAACTCTTTTTTTTTTTCTCAAACATTATGTATTTTCTGACTCATTTATTTATCTCCGTGGCACCTTGGCATGGTCCTGAAAGCTGTTAAACACTGTCCAGTCTGTATCTTTAGAAAGAGTGGAGTGTTAAAAACAATTTTGTAGCATCAGACTCTGACAATATTTATTGCAGTCCCATCATTTTCCTTTGTCCTATTTCTTTGATAGCGGCAAGCTTCCATATTCCTACAAGAGGCAGGGAAATGGGATACAGACAGTGGCTGGTGTACAGAAAGTAGCCCAGCTTCTCTGACCTGCTTGACACTGGGCGATCATGGATTTCCTCCAGAGCTGTCGAGAGCGCTGTGGACAAGCCTGTGTTTATACTCCCGCGGTACAATGTGAGCAGTGGCACAGAAAGGCTGCTGGGCTCCTGCCAAAGGGCCGCGCAGAGGCAGCCAGATCGTCTCCCTGCAATGCAAATACGAGGACAGTGGCGGCAGGGGAAGCCTGGTTGTGCAGCCACCTCCTCCTCGCCCCTGCTCACCCTCCCCAGTTGCGGGACCGGGAGGGTATAGTGCTGAGAAGGGAGGTCACCAGGAGCACTGACTGCAAAGCCATTCGGGGAGGCAGGCTGCCTTCAGACTCACACCTGCCTTGACTTTGGGATGGGACTAGTAGCATCCCGGGTCCCTTACTGACCCTTCGCGTCAGGTGGGTTTGGTGTTTGGCTAGTGGCCAGAGTGGGCAGGACCGTTCCCCGCAGGAGGCCCCAACATAACTTTCAACAAACCCTCTCTTCTCTGTGCCTGAACGAGGGCACTGGCTGGAGCTGGAGGAGGAGCACCAGGAGGGCAGTGCGGAGCCCTCTGCGAGGCGAAGGGCCCCCGGAGAAGTGGCCATCTCCAGCGTGAGCGAGGGCGGCTCCTCCAGCGAGGACCCCAGCCAGTCACCCTGTGCACGAGGTACGACAGTCCTGGGGCAGAGGGAGACTGGAAAGAGGGAGGAAAGGGAACTGGAAAAGAACTGAGCAACTAGGAGACAAAGGTGACAGGGCAGAGAAACCAGGATGGAGGGGCTTGGAAGAACATGACTCGGTGTCTGCAGAGAGAGCGAGATTCAATAAGAAGCTCAGATATGCAGAAAGTAGGAAATAGGGATGCTGTGGGGAGCAGAAGGAGAATTTATGGTAGAATTAATGGCTTGATGCAACCCTGAATATGCAATGACTGAGGGATTTAAGCAGGAATACCCACATTATACAGGCAAATCTGATGTGCATTTTTCTTTAAATTTTTACTCTGCTTACATTAAGTATTTCTGTCTAGTTCCCACGTCTCCAGAGTTTAACAACATAAAATTGTATTCTTCTACATCATCGATCTTCTCCTAAGCCATGAAGTTGGAAAACAGTCTAAAAACAGCTTTCAAAACCGAAAGATTCCCTTCCTGAAAACAGCAAGTAAGGGATTCACTGCATCTCAGTCCATCAGGTTTCCCATCTGTTCAAAAGGCTATGGCTGCTTCCCTGAAGTGAATATTGTTTATTTATTTATTTTTGGAGGAGGGGAGTACATGTATGTGATTCAGGAATAAGATGTAAGAGGTGGTGTCCTCTTCTGAAGGGATGGTTAGACCTGCTCTTTAGCATGTGACAATGCTCAAATACAATTTGTTCTCCTGGATGTGAATGCCTTTGGATCCCAGATGCTGAAGGATAAAGGGGTTTTTATTTGTTTGTTGCTTGTTTTCTGAGTGGAGTTTTATTTATTTATATATGTGCAGAATGATCTATTCTACTGGGTAGGATGTCAGACTATTTATTTTGGCACCTAGTTTAAGAAATAGGTGCTTTTACTGTGCAGCTGGAGTGTTTTTGCTTCAAGTCGCCTCAGGATTCTAAAACCCACTGGAGTAGGGGTTCACTGCAAAATGGAGAGTGAATAGTACTTGGCTTTATAAATTTCTCAACACCTTCCACGCTATGTCAAATTCATGCATATAACCATCCATTTTGATGAATCTCACATGAGTCAGCATGCTTCGATTTACTGATTTTTTTTTTTTCATTTAAATTCTCATTGGAAAGCTATTTATGTAGGGCATTACGTTCTAGCTGTCCTTATACAAGACTGTTTACTGCTTGATTAAGAAAACTTGTCCAAAATAACACTGTATATGTCATGGTAGAGTACCTTCTAAATCAAATGATATTTTACAGTATTGATGTTTCTCCTAAGGCTTATTTGGTACTTGGAAGGCACGCTGGAGACAGCCAGTACAGCCATGGCTTAAGCCTTATCCTGTCACTATCAAACACACAAAGCATACAACACCGTATACAGGACAGGACCTCTGTCCATGGACCGGCTACAAGCCAGACTTCACTCACTAGATAGTATCTGCTCAGAAAGAGAAAGCAGAGCTGGAAACAGCAGCTACAGTGATGCATCTCGGCCATCTCTGAGCAATGTGTGAGTGGGCACATTCAGACTGATGGGGCTCTCCCATGTCCTTGGGACACTGGAAACACCCTGGGAGAGAACAAGTAGTAGATTCATCCCTCAGCTTCTTTACTGTCCAGCCAGACTGGTGATGCCTGCGTGAGGCTCTTCTTTAACCTCTTCAGTAAATACAAATGAGGCAGCTTACAATGCAGCCTTGGTCCCCAGCTGGAAGAGAAGTGGTGACTTTGCTCCTTGGGAAGGGGCTCCCCACCCCTCTGTCCTTCCCCATGAGCTCTTCACTCCTCTCAGGCACTGGGCCGACCCTACCCTGGCAATAAAAAAGTAGACCCGCCCCTGCCATAGTCTTTCTTGGCTGCCTGCTGCTGAAATCAGTCTGCTGGTATCTCACTTCCCAGAGCAACATTTCAGGATCTTCATTTTCATTCAGAAGGTGCAGATTTGTGTTTCGGTTTTTGATGTGAGGAAAAGTTGCAGTTTTATATCTCTCTACAGATAGAAATTTCAAGCTTTTAGGCTTAAGGGATAGGGTGGAGAAAGGATCTTCCTTTTTATGCTTACGACAATAACTGTGAATCTAAATAGCTACATTAATGAGGCTTATTGAAAGTATTTTATTAGGGAATGTGCTAGTCATTAACTTTTCAGTAAGAAAGGGTAAATGACCCTTCTTATATTTGCATGTGAAACTATAAAACTTAATTTCCTATGCAGATAACAGCATTTTTGTCCATCATAGTAGCCGAAGCACTTTAATGTCATTTTAGTTTGAAATAACGCTGTCATTTAGTACTGTCATTTTTTCCTCCACCACCTTACATTCCCAAATTCTTTCATAAAATACAGCATATGATTTTGTGAATGTGAAAATAACAACATGGGTGATGTTTTTTTGGGTAGAATCCACGTTTTGGAAGCTGGTTTGCAGAGTGGATAAAGCACCGTTACTACTGAATGGAAAATTTATTTACCTGAGTAGCCAACTAGTTTTACTGGTGGCTTTTAGGGCATTTTGTTGCATTTGTTTAAGAATTTCTCAGTGTTGTAAAGCCTGCTTACTCTGTGGTTCATGTACATACTAGTAGCCAGACACTAGTGGACAATGCAGAACAAAATTAAAATGAGGAATTGATTAACCTAGGGTATTTTCGTAAGTCTTGAAAATAAATAACGATTTATATCACCTTATTAAATTTAGTGTGTTCATTTTCAATGAAATAGACTAAAAGATCAAGCCAAGTGTTTTAGCATATATTTTTAGCTTGCTTCAGTTCTGTGTTGGTTGCTATATTCATCTGTAAATCAGCCTTTTTGAAGCTTCACAGACAAAATTTCTTGAAAATCACAGTGGTTTTGGCTCCTCGAAATGGTGATGTTTCGGTTGTTGATGTCATGTTAAATTGTGATTATAAAGAACTTCCTTCCAAGGGAACATATATGGCATAAGTAGGGAGCATTGGGCTCTAGGAATTATTCAAAATTAGTAGTTGCGTAGGGATGACATGTGGAAGAGGCACAGAAAGAAGGTCCTTTGAAGAAAGTGGAGAAAGAAGGGTAAACACACTCCTCGCAGAGAGAAATGTCAGAGCAAAATGAAAACAGAACATAACTAGAAGACCTAACATCAGATAGGTTTTATTTCCTAACAGAAGAATGTTGTGAATCTCTGTGTAAAGATTGTAAGAGACCTGCAGAAGGAAACCTCATGGCAAGAAATAGTTGTAGAAACATACTCCGCTGAGGTCTAGTATCATTTTTATCTACAATATTGCCTTTGTTGTTTAACTCCAATAGTTACGAAATATATCATATTCATGCGAAACAGAAACTGTTTTCTTGGTCCTAAACCAATAATTCTAACATCCTTTTCTAACAGAAAAAATAAATGTTTGGAAATAACTTAAGTGCTTCTCTCTTATGGATGCACGTGTATAGCACATAGAAACTGAGTCTCATAGTAACAAAAATTGTCATGTGCACTTGACAACAGCAGGCCTGTGTGTTTTTCCTTAAGGTTTGAGTCAGATGAGAAAAAGTGCCACGTGGAGCATTCCACTGTTCTTCTCTAGTTAATTCAATGTGTGAATTATTTCACTATTATTTCATTGTTTCCCTATACACTAGATTTCAAGAAAGCAATTTTATGTATACTGTATTTAAGCCCCCGTGAAGGCCTGCTGACATTTGCTGGGATTACACATAAAATCCTGCTGCGGATGCAGAGAATACTCAGCTTCTTCCTCCAAAAGGCTAGTCATATCTTCACATATGATGAAATATTTATTGAGTACAATGTTAACAGCTACCATATTGCTGTACTCCCACATTGACGCAAATGTTGGCAAAAGCTACTGTGCCAGCTGCCCACTTACACACTCTAGTGGCACCTTTGCTATTCGGCAAATCCACAAATTACCATTCTCATCCAATTAATGCTCAAACACTGGTGGGTTGTTTTTTTTTTCTGCCTCCCATATTTAGCAGATTTCTGTTAGAAAATAAAAGATGAAGATGGATACACAGGAGCCTGTCAAATCAGACCAAACCCGGCAAAGTTAAGATTTCTTCAATGCCAGAAAATACCCTGGAGTGGTCTGTGGGAATATAATGAAGAGAACTGAGGATTAATGCAGAGATTGAGGAGATTAAACCTTAATTAAAGTGAGCACTTGTATACAGTACATATGGCAGACGACTATTCTTACAGCTGTAACGGCGCAGATGTCTTCCTGCGGTTACACAGGTCCTACCTCCCATCCTACCCAAGGAGTGGGTTTCTGCAGTGGCTGGTGGAGAACACATTGTTTAATGTTTCAGTATAGAAGCATGCAGCTACAGAAGACTCCCCATGGCACGGCGCTTCTCTGTAACAAGATGAGGTGACTTCCATAATCAGCATTTCTAGCTAAGCTGCACACACGGTTTTTTTGCCCTCCTGCTCACGGGCTGCGCTGCTCCAGCCCGTGATGGCATGTTTAAACCAAGGCAAAGCATGGGAGCTGCATTGCCTTCCTGAGTGCACAGAAGTGGAGGTGACAATAATTTCTGACAACTTTTCACCATTAAAAGTATTTATCTCAGACCTAAGACAGTCTCTGCCTGCTGACCTCCAAAATATGCTGCAAGGGCATATTCAAGACTTGAATGTGTGTCCCTTTTTACTTCTAAGGATGTTTACCCTCATTTCTATGGTTGTATAATAATTTTTCTCTGTCCATGAAGCTTTATTTTGATTATCAGGAGGGATTTTATACTCTATAGACTTGTGATGAACAAGAGGCATGTAACCGTCATACTGTGGTGGTGCTTCTCGTCAAAATGTGAGGTGAAAAACCCACGGCTTTTGATGTACAGCCTTCCAGAACTCAATGACCACTCCAGTGTTTTGAAACAGAAATACAGAATACCAAAACATATCTAAATGGCATGCCAACATCTTTTGAAAATGCCAGCAGTACCATTCTTGTCTGGAGTTTCTGTACTAAGTCAAGAGGAGTTCT